GGGCTTCGAGTGGACCACTACAGGAGAGCACAGCTAAGAAAGGCAGCATAATTTATGAGTGTTCCGGGCAAAAGAGAGCTATATAGATTTTCTTCAGGCATTGAATTAATGTGCCCTATAAAATGGTTTCACATTTAGGCTTGGCAGGGCTTTGTACCTTGGGTTTGATGGGGTCCTTTGACAGTTCCTGGAGCTTTCTGGAATGGAGGGTGCAGCTGGACCTCGAGCAGCACTGCAGACCCCAGGCTGTCCCCAGAGCAGCTCCTCCTCCTCTTCCTCCTCTTCCTCTTCCTCCTCCTCAGCAGCCGGCTCAGGAGAGCAGCGTGGCTGGGGCGGAGGAGCGAGGGACAGGACAGGCTGGCTGCAGCATGGCAGTCAGGAATATCAGCAGGAAGGAATGATTCCTGCAAGGTTTCCTTGCCAGTTCCTCATGGAACACCCTCCACTCTGCAGGGCAGCCCTGCTGGCAGCCATGCCAGGCAGGGAGCAGCCAGCATCTGCTCCCAGCTCCTCTGCTGTCCCCACTGCTGTCCCAGTGTTCCCCCAGGCCCAGAGCCGTGCCATGAGAGGGGGTGGCTGCCCTGGGCTGGGCCAGGGACCCAGGATGGTCACTTGCCATCCCACAGCAGCAGCCACGAGGATTTTCACTGCTGCTGCTGCCTCCACCACGGTGAAAAGTGTGTGTGTGTGTGTGTGCCCTGAAATCCAGTTACTCTGGGACCCTGGGTGATGCCAGCAGTGCCCATTACTGTTACTGTCAAAAGCACAGGCACGGCTGTTCCCAGCTCCCCTGAAGTGACTTTCTCCTCATGGCTTCAGCAGATGTTCCAGCTCCTTCACTTTTTTTCCTTTTTTTTTTTTTTTAGGGCAGGCAGGACTTTGTGAGTCGTTTCCTCCGGGGACATGGGCAGGTTTTAGTATTTACGTTTCCAGTATTAGCATTTATTTGTATTTGTGTTTGTTTTTCACGGGCTTCTGAAAGCCTCAGGGAGCCATTTATGGGGCCAAAATAATGCAAGTGCTGGTCTTCTCACAGTATTTCATTTCCTTGATGGTGGAAACGCTACAAGAAGAGCAGGTCTCATGTTATTTTGACCCCATAAATAGCTCCCAGAGGCCCCTTTCTTCCTTCTCCCACCCACTCCCCCCCAAATCAAATATTTAGGTTTCTGCAAAGCCTGACTTCTCAACCCTGGTTATCTTGCTTCAGCAGAAGCAAATTGCAGTTATTACAAAATAGCCAGGGAGTCTATAAGGCCGAATGGGTTTTATATGATGCACAATTTGTTGGCTACTGTACAAGTTCATTAAAGTGTATCATAAGAGGTTGTTTTACTGGTACATTTAAGGAAGTTAATACATCTCGACAGTGTATGCATGGGGGAATGCAGATACAATAACCCTCAGACTTGCTGGGGCCAAGTCCATTCCTGGCGTAACTCCACTGGAGTGAGCAGAGTCAGAGCCTGGGCAGCCCTGGAGTGCTGCTGCTCCCTGATCCTGCTGCTCTGGGCTCTCCTGCCACCCACTCCCACCTTTCCGTGGGGGTTTGCTCCTATTTTGTGTTCTCCCAGCACAGAGGATGTCAGTGGTCTGACTAGTTGTGTGATGTGCCTTTTTAGCTTGTTTCAGGTCCTTTGGCTGCCCCATCCCAGGGTGGCCTTAGGGACCTGTCTGTCCTGGTACCCAACAGCCCCATCCTGCAGCTCCTGCTGCACTTGCTTGGTCTCTCCAGACCCACGAGAAGTTGTCCTGCAGTTTTCACTCTGTGAGAGGAAGGGTGTCCCCAAGTCACGGAGCCATTCCCAGTCTTGTCTCTGCTTCCCATGGGAATCTCACTGATGTTCCTCTGCTCTGCCCCAGTCTGCTCTAAGGGCTGGGAGGAAGAATCATAATATACACTGGATTTATTGATTTATTTATTTATTTATTATTAATATAAATATTTTTTTATTATTATTAATGAAACAGAGCAGAAGGGCAGGCAGACACACAGGGTCAGCTGTGTGGGCAGGTGGTCCCTGGTGACCATGTCATGGCTAATTGTCCCCCTGGATTTATTTATTTATTTATTTATTTATTATTAATATAAATATTTCTTTCTATATTTTTATTAATGAAACAGAGCAGTTTGGGGAAAGGCAGGCAGACATGCTGCCTGTGGTGCTGGGGTCAGCTGTGTGGGCAGGTGGTCCCTGGTGGCCATGTCATGGCTAATTGTCCCCCTGGTGTGACCCAGCCGTGCTGCAGAGCCGGCCGGGGTGAGGGCAAGAGCCCAATTTCCTGAGCACAGCAGAGCTCTCTGTGGCAGCCAAGCACTTTTCCAGGGCTTCCTCGGGTATCAGAGCACGCTGCTCGTCTGCCTGGCTGGGTAATTAGTTCCAGAGTGAGAGCTGGGCTGTGTGAGAGCCCTGGGACTCGTGTTCCATGGGGAATGTGTGCCCGGGGATGGCAGCTTGCATGTGGGAGCTCCCCGGGTTCAGCTGACACCCCCTGACCCAGACTGGGCTGGAAAATCCCCTCCAGAGCCTCTGCCCCTCCTGCCCCTTGTCTTTTGTCAGGAATTGTCAGGTTTTCCTGCCTGGCAGCTGCAAGGGGAGCTCAGGACAGCTCGGAGCTGTGGCACACGGGCAGGACAGAATTCCCTCCCTCCTTCCCTCCCTCCATGCAGGCCCTGTGCCCACTGCTCTGCATCCCTGCTTTCTGGTCCCTGCCTTTTCCCTGGCTGGCATCAGTCTCTGCAGTGCCACCCCCTGGCAGGCCCCTCAGAGGTGACAGGAGCTGCCAGCTGCAGGGATCCTGCAGACCCCAAAAAAGCCCAAATCCCCCCCAAATCCCACCCAGGCAGGGCACAAGGTCCCACCAGGCACTGAGGGACAGGCAGGAGCTCAACCCCAGGGACAGAAGCAGGAGCCACAGGAAAGCAAAACGCCTCTCTCTATCCCTCTCCCTTTGCCTTGCTGGAAACACTTTGCCTGGAAATGCATTCTAGGTGGGAAAGAGAGTGGAATCACCCCGGGAGGAGCTGTACTGGGGTTTGGGGGAGCCCAGCAGCACTGCCCAGCATCCCCAGCTCTGACGTGGGACCTTTAAGCAAAGCCAGCTGTGTGCTGAGGGAGATGAAAGCCCCAAATCAGACAGGATAAGCACAGTATTAGTGTGGGATACGCCACTCATTTCTGATTTAAATTACTGTTTTTCCTTCCTGGACCCATGGGAGAGTAAGGATGTGAGGAAAATGAAGAGGTTTAGACATGGACATTCCTTCACCAAATACTGGCAAGAAATGGTGCTGAATGCAGCTGAGGTCATTGGCAGCGCTGCTTTCAGGGTGACCAGCTTCCTGCTGATTTGTTTTCCTTGTATCCTGGGCAGATTATCTCCTTACAGTTTACCTGCAGGATGAGGGATTAAATCCCACAGCCCTCCCTGCTAGGTGTGGGCAGGGCTGCTGGCCCTGCAGTGCCCAGGGGCTGAGGGGAGCAGGGCAGTGCCAGAGGATGCTGGGGTGAGATGCTTTTTGCTTTAGGGAAAAGCTGACTTTTTGCTGCTCCCTGTACTTTGTGTATAGATCTGTCCTTATCACAGAGTCCCACTGCAGGCAAAGTGTTTACAGGAGGTTAAATAGCCCAGATGAGGCAGTGGAAGGGCAGGAATATTTAGCAGAGAGCAGAGCAGACACTGCCCCTGCAGCTCCTGTGGCTCCTTTCCACCCCAGACAAGTCTTACACAGAACCAGAGAAAGGTTTGGGTGGCAAAAGACCTTAAAGCTCATCTCATTCCATCCTTTGCCATGGGCAGGGACCCCTCCCACTATCCCAGGCTGCTTCAAGCCCCATCCAACCTGGCATGAGGATTTCCAGGGATGGTGCAACCCCAGCTCCTCTGTTCCAGTGTCTCACCACCCTCACGGGGAACAATTTTTTCCAGTATCCCATCTAAACTTCTCTTCCAGTTTAAAACCATTCCTCCTTGTCCTGTTACTCTATGTCCTTATAAAAAGTCCTTCTCCAGCTCTCCTGTAGCCCCTCCAGGTCCTCTTTCCCCCTTGGCAGCAGAGGAGTTTGCCCAAAACTGTCCCCAGCCCGTCCCCTCCAGCCCAGGCTGCCCAGACCAAGTCATGCTCAGGGTCTCACATCACAACTCCCCAGAGTATTTCTTGTCTGCTGTCACCACTGTCACTCTGGGGGAGGATTCCTGTGCCATGCCCGGGCTCTGCCTCATGTCCCTGCTGCATGCCACCGCTGAGTGCTGCCAGGGGGATGCTGCACGTGGCCACCGAGTCAACTGCGGGGTTCAAGTGGCTCACGGAGAGGCCACGGCTGGAAACGGTGCCCTGCACACACAAAAATCCTCCTGTTAGGAGATTAAGGAGCACTAAAGGCTCTTGGAGGTCAGAGAGGGGAGATGGCTGGGTGGGTGTGACCAGGAGAAGGAGAGCCACAGCCAGGCTGCTTTCTCTTTTGCTTGGGGGCACAGCTGAGGAAAGGGGATCTTTTCTCTTTGGCTTGAAAAAGCTGAGTTGTTTTACATCCATTTGGGCAGGATAAAGGGCTGTGGAAAGTCCTGGTGTCCCCAAGGTGGGGAATGGCAGTGGTTATGCACTGCTGGTGCACACTCTGCCAATGCCCCTTCCCAGCATGGCTGGGAGGGAAGATTTTCCATCATCTGCAGCCATCCCCTCCACACCCTGCTCAGTTCAGCCATGAGATCCCCACTATGGCATCCTGTCATGTCCTGAGTCAGCAGCCTCGGCCCCAGGGAAGGGCAGCAGGTAATGTCTCCATCTTTGGCTCAGCTGAGCTGTGAGCCCAGCTGCAGAGAAGTGGAACCAGGAGCTGGCGTTCCTCGGGAGCGATTCCCAAACCAGCCCGGGAAAGGATGATGAGCAAACGTTAGAGCAATGCAACAGCCGAGGGATTTGCCAGTAAAGCATCTGTCTGACGACTCTGGGGGTTTATCCCAAACACTAACCAGGAGCTGCTCTCTCTCCCTTGCAGAGCTTCAGCGAGAGGGAAGCATAGAGACGCTCAGTAACAGCTCGGGCTCCACCAGCGGCAGCATCCCCCGAAATTTCGACGGCTACCGGTCCCCGCTCCCGACTAACGAGAACCAGCCCCTGAGCCTGTTCCCCACGGGATTCCCCTAAAGCAGCAGCCCAGCAGGGACACATCCAGCCAGGGTAACGAGCTGCCTCTCCCCCCAAACAATCCCGCTGTGTCTGTCACCTGCCAGCTCCGGGGTGGTTCTCGTTACCCTGATGAATATTGATGACTCTTAAACCTCCCTGAAGCATACTCGTGAAATCTTGACTCTGTGTTCCTGTGCAATACGAAGAGGCTCCATCTTCAGTCCTGATAGCTCTGCAGCTTCTTTTCTCGCTGTCTTCAGGAAGAGGTTGGATGAGGAGAAATACTCCTAAGCCATCTTGGGTCAAGCACAAGGTTTCACAGCTGTTCTCTGCTTTTTTTTGTGCTGAGATGAATCTCTGTAGCTCAGAGGAGCTCTCGCCATTGGTGAAAGTGCCGAGCATTAATGGATGAACTGGAGGGACTGGAAACTGGAGGACTTTCTGTGGACAGGGTTGATGATGTTATTCCTTCCTCATCGCCTCTCCTTGCTGCCCTTCTTCCCCTCTGATACTCATCGATGCCAGGAGTATTACAAATGGAAATGTTTCTTTTTGTTCTTTGGAAGAATTCTCTCTCTTGCTCCCATTTTCTTCTAGTCATGTATTTTAGGAACGTACTTAATTGACTAATTGCAGTCATGGATTTCTCATATTTGGTTATAAAAGTTGTTCATTGGAACTCAGATATCTGTCCAGAAATGCATGTGTCATTGAATAAATCTCAGTTAAACAAGAAACTGCTTAAATGGCAATGTTCATGGAGTGTTACTGGGCTGACTGTGAGCTTTGTGTATCACCAGACTCTGTGTGTATTTACTGACTTGAGGGCTTTAATTAAAGCCATCAGTGGCTGTTATGCAGCCAGTCTAGCATGGTTTTACCTCCCCATTTCCTTGTCCTCATGTGCACAGACAGGATTTTTAAAAACAAGGTATTTAGGTGGTGTGCCTTGCACGCACTTGGCTCCTCTGAAAACCAACACCCAGCTCCCTGCTTTGATTGGGACCCTGTTTCTTCATCCCACTGATTTCAGTGGGACAAGGACCAGGTGCAGGAGGCAGAGGCTCCCATTTCCATTTGTTCTGTTGTGGGATCATGGGTCAGAGCCTTTGCAGAACAGCCTGAACCTCTGCACCCTTCTGAACGTGCACAGTCAGAGCTAGCACTGCATAACCCCGCTGATAAAACAGTTCTGGGCTCACACATCATAACCACACAAATTCCTACATCTCAGCCAACTTGTGTCTAGAAGCAGAGTGAGATGGGGCTGTCAGCTTATGAAATTTCCTTCCCACTACTTGTTTTTAATAGAAGCCGTTTGAGTCATGGCAGGGAGAGGAAACTATCTAAAGCCACAAATCCTACAGCTCCAGCCAGCCACACCAAGGGATGCAGAACCAACCACCCTCTTCCTACTCCATCCCCAAACACCCAGTTCAGTCTTGGGCTTGGTTTGGGTTAGTATTTTTTTTTTTTTTTACTTTTGACTGTAACACAGCCACTCAGAAGGTTTTGTTTTCTTCAGGCTTGGAAACCGCTAATAAAAAGCGAGAGTCTACAGCAATAATTTCAGTTTCTCGCTCGGTTTTCAGTCAGTCTCTTCTCAAGCAAAAAAAAAATAACTTCCTTGGGATGAAATCAGAGGAGAGCTTTGCCTCTAAGTAAGTACTTGCAGCTCCGGCCCGCTGGCTATATCTGCTGTAATGTTATGTTCCTTTTTGTCTGTAAAATAAAGGCTTGAAGTACAGGGTTGAGGGCAGGACTGGCACCGTGGACAAATGGGACCGCAGGGTCAAGTCAGTCCACACCAGTCAGGGTTTTTAACACAGTTCAAGCCAAGGTCAGCTCCAAAAGTTCAAACAAAATCCAGATTAACACATACAGAAGGGATTGTGTTGTCACCGTGATGCTTGTTTCCTTTCAGGCTTTCCAAGGAGCGGGGAAAGGGACAAAGTTCTCCTGGAGGAAGGAAGGAGGCTCCTCTCCCTCCTGCCTGGGACAGCCTGGCTGCTTCTGGCTGAGCACACAAAGTGGGATAGCACATAACACAGAGTGGTGTCATTGCAAATGTATTTGTTGTTGGCAGGCATTAAATCACTTTTTATAAGTGCTGCAATATGGCCATGTGGAAATTCCCAGTCTGCAAGAAGCTCCTTTGAATCAGGATGTTTTGTTTAAAGTGGGGGGGAAGAGATTCAAAAAAACCCTACAAACTGGGGCTGTACCAAAATATTTTCAGTCTGGTTCATTGAAAAGAATGTCCTAAATTCTCTGCTGTTGATAGCCCTGTAGCCAAACTGTTAAGAAAGCCTAGAGCCTAAAAAAAAAAAAAAAAAGAAAAAAAAGAAAAAAAAAAATAAAAGCATTGCCATGAGGTGGCTAATTTAACTTTAATTTGATACTTTCACAGATGACCCAGCAGAATAACCACTGAGTTCCAGCTCTTCTGTGAGCCAGAGAAAACTGAGTGTGTTGCAGTGATGACTGTATAGGATCTGATTCATTGATAACTCCATGAGGTCTGAATTATCACTAACTCTGAGGTCTGCAGGGTCTGATTTAATGATAATTTTATAGGCTTTCATTCAATAATAACTCTATAGCATCTGATTCATTAGTAACTCTATTTGATACATCCCTGCACTGTGTTTTTCACTCACACCACACTCCTGCTCCCACCCATGGCCCTAAAAGCCCCCCATTTCAGCTGGGTGGTCTCGTGTCACACCACCCTTCCTCCTCCTCAACCTCAGCAGCCAAATGAGAACTCATTTTCAAGCACCAGGAGAGAATATTTCTGTTCCTTGATAAGTCTAGAAGCTGCTCTTAAGGGAGGTTCACCCCTGACTTTTAACAGAACCAGGTTTTCAGTCAAGGAACTTGACCCAAACCCCACTTTAAAACAGCCAGAGGCTCGTGGTCTTTGCAGGATTTTGGGCAAGCAGCTCCTGCCACGGTGGAAATTCTCCAGGTGAGTTTCTGACACGCCAGGTTCTCGAGCACAGCAGCTGGCAGCCCAGCAAGAATGCTGTGCCATGATATAAACCAAAGAGCCCAAGAGACACGGGAACTTGCAGGTTTTTAAACTGTTCCCAGTAGTTGTAAGCAGAGGGCTCCTGCTGAGTTCAAAAGGCAAAACGTCTCATTTAAAGAGGGGCAGACTGTATATCACTCTGGGCATAAAGTGGGGCTCTTCTATTAAAAGTTGAGTTCAGATTTCATGAATTACCATGAAATATTGCTTTCTTATCCTACCCTGGTTTCTGTAATAAACACACGCGTGTAGCGGGCTTAAATCATGGGAGGGGGATGTTGGGCTGTTTGGAAAGGAGTGGGAGCTCAGTGGTTTTCCATCGTGACAGCTTGGAGTTCAAATAAAATCAGATCTCAGGAGCAGTCCAGGGCCTGGGTGCAACCATCAGGATTCCTGGTGCTTTGCAGGGCACGTGGAGCTCAGGATTTTGCTGAGGATGCTGAGCCCCAGCCCAGGCAAAGCCCATCCTGTCCCTGTCCCTCTGAGGGGACACTCTGGTTTGTCCTGCCCTGAACAGCATTCCCCAGGCCCAGAATATTTCCTGGCACGAGGCAAAGGACAGACCAAGGGCAAAATCCTGCCAAGATCTCCATCCTCCTTCCTCGGCAGAGGACCCAGAGCAGAGTTTGGCAAACTCGCTCTGCACGCTGCAAAGTGCGGCTGTGAAATCCCTGAACGCTGCTCCCCGTCCCACCGAGGGGGCAAATCCGTGCTGCTCTCACCAGGGCTGCCTCAGTAACTTTTTGAGCATCCAAACCACGTCTGCGCCACGTCTCTGCATTTATTTTCTCACTCCTTTGCTCTGCCTTGTTGCTGTGCAGGGTAGGAAAGTTTGCGCCATTTCCTGTTGTCTTTCCCTTGTGCTCCTGAGATATTGTAAAAATGTTCGGTATCCTCCAGTAGGTTGTAATCACTTCACCCTAATGTTTCACAGCTGCTAAGTGTAACTTTAAACCCAACCATTTGAGTGCTTACAATTAGCGAGTCAATGGGGCTGAGATCGGGTCTTTGTGATTGCAAAAAGGAGAAAACGAAACTTTTATTTTTTTTCCCCCCTGAGTTTTAATTGGATAAAACGGGAACAAAAGTCGTGGAGACGAGGGGGGGTGGTTTTTTTTTTTAATGCAATAAATGATTAGTGGCTTGTGTGCTAGGAAAAAAAAAATAATTGGATCCACTGCTTGGCCTGTTTCACAGATGGAAAAGGCACCGGGACAAGCATTTGTCTGCGGCAGCGCCTGTCCCGGGGACAGGGGAGCCCCTCTCCGAGCTGCTGGGAGCAGAAAGGGGAAGGGACGAGCGGTGCAGCTGTGCCCTCGCCTGTCCCTGCCCGCCCAGCCGGGCAGAGCATCCCTGGGTCCCCGCGGTGGAGCACCGGGGCCGTTCGGTGTCCCGTGGCACTGAGGGAATACCGGTGTCAATCTGGGCTCCGGAGTCCTCCCAGCCCGACGGGGTGAGACCTGCTCCGTCCCTCTGGGGACAGGTTTTAGTTGTCCCACAAATGCCTTCGCCCGCCGGGAGCGCAGGGCAGGACCCGGCGGGGAGCGAGTCCCCAGCGCCGGGGCTGGAGCGGGGACGTGGCGGGGACATCCCTGTCCCCACGGCTGCACCCAGCTCCGTCACTCTGCCCAGGGGCACTGCTGGGCATGCCACATGTCCCCCCGGCCTTGGGGACACTCCTGGCTGTGCCTGGGCGTTGACACTGTCCCATCAATTGCCACCCATCCCTCCCTGGGCTCAGATGTCGTTTGAAGCTGTGCGGCTGGCAGTGAGTTCCCAGGCTGAATTTTTGCCTTTCTTGGGAGTTTCTGCTGCAGGAAATTATGCTAAAATACCGGCAGCAGGGTCGGGGGCTTGCAGCATTCCCTGTCGCCTCCATCTCCTTCCCTCCATCACATGGGCACAGTGCTCCTTGGCTGCTCCCCCTCCACGGAAAGCATTCCTGCCACCTGATCAGAAATACTAATTAATAGCAAAGCCCTGGTCTAGATAAAGGAGGAGGCTCTGAATTTTCTCGGGAACTTTGCTGTCTGAAAGGTATCTGAAATATTCCCTAGCACTCAGCCTATCAGTGGGTCAATTATATGGTGAGCAGTACAAAGTTAATTTCTAATTTAATACAATGTTAAAAGGTTGTCAGGTTAAAATCTAATCTATAAGCGAGACATGAAACGTCTCTTTAATAAAAACAAGTATTGCTAACCAGTCCTGCCTCAAACCACAGGCTGCTGCTTCTTTTATAGGATATAATTATTTCCCAGTGAGTATTTACAATATTATTACAGGACATTAATAAAAAGTGATGCCACTGCATGTGTGGCACTGAGCATTAATCCCACTCCCACCCAGCCCCTCTCCCTCCAGGTCCTTTTCTGGAGAGGTGGGAAGAGCCAGGTCATGGGGCCATGGGAGGAAGGACAGGGAGAGAACCGATTGCATTTTCCCTCCAAAGTGGGGCTGTGGGAGCAGGGACACCCTGATGTGTTCTGGAGGGAGCACAGCATCTCTGCATCCCCCAGGGAGGAGGAGACTCTCCTGGGATGAGATGGGAACCATGGGCAAGTGCATTCCTTCCTGGGCAGAGGGGAGAGGACTTTGGCAAGGGTCTGCCGTGGGCTGGAGGCTGTGAACCACCCTCAGAGCAGCAGCTTCATTCAAGCAGAAAACCAGAGAGAGCACCTGCAGCCCGGGCTGAAGAGCTGGCCCTGTACCCTGCTCCCCATCCCACCTTGCACCCCTTCCATGACTCCCAGTAGAAAGGACAGGCACGTCCCACTGCCTCTGCTCCATGCCAGGGTGCCCACACTGCAGCCACCCTCAAGGTACACTGAATTTTGCTCTTTTTGCTGCAGCCACCCTCAAGGTACACTGAATTTTGCTCTTTTTGCTGCAGCCACCCTCAAGGTACACTGAATTTTGCTCTTTTTGCTGTCGAAAGGAGAAAGTCCAGCTGTCATGTGGGAGTGATGCCACTGTCCTGCCCGGGTGACTGCCCGGACTATGAAACTCCTGCTCCTGGTAATCCACAGTGTCCGTGGGAGCTGGGCAGGATCAGTGCTGCCCTTGCCAGGCTCAGCCAAAAAACCACACTGTGTCACCCTGCTGTGGGTCACACGATCAGGTTGATTTTCCAGGAGGAATCTCACCAGCTCCAATTCTTGGATCAGAAGTCTGAGCTCCCCTCAGTGCCCGTGAAGCAAGGAGGGGTTTTCCTAAAGAAGAGCAAGATTTTGGTGGGAGCAGGTGATCCCCACCACAGCAAGGGCTGGAGTGGAATGTGAGGTGATTAAATATAATACTGGAGCTAAAATAGAGGCACGGGAGATGTGCTGGTCTGAAGCTTCCAGGGATGTGTGAGCTCTTTGCCCCAGCCCTCCACTGGCCAGGACTCTCTCCCTTCCTTTCCCTGGGTTTTCTGGTAAATTCTGCTGCTCTCTGCAATTGAGAAAAGCTGCTGCTGAACATCTGCACAGGCACTGTCCTCTCGGGGCGGCTGCCGGGGCTGTGAGGGCTGCGCTGCCGCTGCTTTGATGTGCGGGTGATTCACGGCTCGGCGGGGAGGGACGGGGCGGGATGGGATAATGGGATGGGGTGGGATAATGGGTTTGGATGGGATGGGATCTGTGGGATGGGATCTATGGGATGGGATGGGATGGGATGGAATGGGATGGGATGGGATGGGATGGGATGGGATGGGATGGGATGGGATGGATTGGGATGGGACGGGATGGGATGGGATAGGATGGGACAGCACCTGCACATCTGTACAAACAGCAGCCCCGTGTGTGAAGCCCCCTGTGCCTCCTCGGCAGGGCACAGGCTGTGACCTCTCCTGCTCCCACCACCTGCAGAGGAAGCAGGAGGAGCCCGGCGGGACCGGCTCAGGCGCTTCCCTGCATCCCACCAGCACCTGACGGGCAGAGGGATGGGGATGCCCACGCTTGCTGAGGCCAAGGGGAGGGAGCAGAGCCGCAGGCAGGCAGAGCTGCAGCCCGGGGAGCACAATCTGTGGCCTTAATCCCGGCGTGTCCTGCGCGCTCTCAAATCCCCTTCACTTCAATGAGCGCCTGGAGTGTCAGGCCCGCGCCGGGCGAGACGGCACGCGGGGCTGGCGGGGAGGATTTGCTCAAGAGGCACTGTTTTTAAGGTGAGATTTGAAGGATGGAAGACAGATGGCAACTGGAGAGGACAAACGGATCAAGTGAAGGGCTTGTTTTCAGCGTGGAGGGGGAAAACACAGTGGGGGGAATTACTGCTGGCGACAAAATGGGGGC